TGCTTATTTGTTTTGCGATTTTACTTCACATCACATGCGTGAGATAAGCATTTAGTCATTGTTTTTATTTCTTTATTTCGTAATTATTGTCTCCGAGTACTTCTAAAAAAGATAAATTTTATAAATTCTTCCTTAACTTTATCACTTATATCAATATGCTTTAAAAAATTATTTTTTTGGGTCATTTGAAATCATTAACCAATTGACTTTAAAATGTACAAGTTATGCTCTCTGAACTTCATCACTTGTGTCAACATGTCCTCTGTAATTAACTCTGTTAAGTTTTTTAACGGAAATCCTTATAAACTCCATCTGAACTTTATCACTTGTATCAATATAATCCTTAAACTTTAAAATGTACTTATTGTGTCCTCTGAACTATGATATGTCTCTAGCTTTTCCCCCTCCATCTTGAATCTATCAGTTTTTTTGAACAAAACTGTTGATATTACTATTAAATTACTAATTAACTATGATATTTGGGGTTTATTAAATACCATTCCATCTAAGAATGTTAGTTAGGTATCAATTCTCAGAACATTAATTGATTAGATGCAATAAAAAGGGAACAAGACAAGGAGCAAATAGGTTTTTTAATTTCTTAATTTTTTTTCTTTTTCATTGGAATAGGTTTATTAAATTAACAAGTTTCTTAATGTAGATAATAGATTTTTTCTTGAATTTATATTACCTGCTTTTTTTTCTTAAGATTTTTTTTTTAAAGTTTGTTAAGTTAATGGGTTTTCTAATGTTAGTGTTGATTTTTTTAAAGTACAATAAAATAATGACTTGAGTGTATTTAAATTTAAAAATACTATATATGTATAAAGCATAAACGTTTCTAAGATTTTTGCTTTAAAATTGTTAAGTTAATAGGTTTCTTAAGGTTTGTGTTGAAGTTTTTTTTTTTTTTAAATACAATAAAATAAATGACGTGCACTTCTATTTAGGTTAAATATTATGAAAAAACTAAAAAAATTCATTACATTACACTGTGTGCTCCTCATTTTTTTTCTCTTTTTATTACCTATAATCAACTAATTTTTTTTTTTAATTAGTGCCTAACTAACATTTTTAGAGGGAAATATATTCAATAAACCTCAAATATCATAGATAATTAATAATTTAATAGTCATGTCAAAATTTCCATTTAAAAGATGATAGAATCAAGATGAAAGGGGAAAAATTGGAGACATATTATAATTCAAAAGGCACAACAGATTTTTAAAGTTCATGGGACATATTGATACAAATGATGAAGTTCGGGGGATGTTTATAACAGAGTTAACCACATGAGGCATATTGACAAAAGTGATAAAATTTAAGAAGCACAACATACACATTTTAATATTTAGGGGTATGTTGAAATAAGTAATAAAATTCAAGAGCAATTTATAAAATTTTTCCTTCCAAAAGTGGATGATTGTAAGAAGAAGTGGGCTCTTAGCTAGGGCCTTATAAGTAGACATCTTTAGAGTATTTGGGATAAGATTGGTTTGAGATGCTGTTAACACACACATATATATATTTAATTTAAATTGTAATTTCAACTTTTTGTTATAGTATTTTTCTTTTTAAAAAGCTCCTAACTAGCTTGGAATCTTAATTTTTACTGAATCAAGCCATTACACAAGTGCTATCGAGTTTTGAAGTTGTAATAACCATAGAGCCAAACAGTTAGAAAGAATAAAATTAATGTTTCGTTCATTTTACCGATTCGAGTTTTGTTACAGTAAAAAGCTCTCAGAAACAGTCACATCTAACTTTTTTGCTATAGTAAGAAACTCTCATATAAAGTCATATATCAATTCGAATTAAAAACTCGAATCAGTGAACTAAACAAGTTCTAAAAAGATGATAGAGAGGATTAATTATACATAAGATGCAGCTCATGTGCCAAGAAGCAGCGGTGGAGCCCTTGTGAAGCGTAGATCAAAGCCAATAAATTTAATTACATAATTACGTTTATTATAGTTATTGTTTTTGGTCGTTTCGTACAAAGGTTTTTTCTCTAACCATATAATTTATTTTAAAAAGATGTATATAATTGATTAAATAGAGCGTGTGAATAGAAGCCGCCAATAAAATTTGATACAAAGAATAATAATAAATTGTATCACGTTTAATAGCAACTTAGAATCCGTTCAGTTTTCTAATTTGAATTTTTAATTTGAGTTGAGATATGATATTGTGCGAGAATTTTTTACTGTAACAAAAAAATTAAATATAACTATTTTTGAGAATTTTTTACTATAACAAAACTCAAATTCTTAACTCGAATCTGTGAAAAGACGGAGGTTAGCAAGTTAATGTCGAATTAGAAAAAGTTTATTGAGGCGTGCGTGGTCCTGTTCTAGCAAAAATAAAATAAATAATTTTATTTTTTTAAATTGAGGCGTGGTTCTTTGCGAATGAGGGATTCAAAGGGCGAGAATTGGAATTGGCACGGTCGCTTTCCTTCTAATCAATACCAGTAAACGACAGCCTTCTTGGTCGAAAACAAAAGCAAAAACGACAGCCCACAGGATTTGACCAGTTTAAAGTTTGTAAACTTCAAAGCAAACAGTAGGAGATGACAAATCAGATGGAGCTGTTTGTTTCATAAATATCGTGGGCTGGGGGAGGACTGAGAGGAGACACCAGATTCTAGAAGTTACTTTCACCTTCCCTGCCTCCTACAATCTGATCCTCATCCCACTTTCCCTGGTCCGCGCGTGAATTCACGCGCCTTCCTTTTCTCCTCACTCGAGAAAACTACTTAACGTAAAGAGATGCCTTTTGTGATAAATAAAAAAAAGAAAACTATTAATAGAGTGTTAATTGTCCCGTTCACTTTGCTGATTCGAGTTTAGAATTTGAGTTGAGATGTAATTTTATGTGAGAGCTTTTTATGTAGCAAAAAAGTTAGATGTGATTGTTTATGAGAACTTTTTACTGTAGAAAAACTCGAATTCTAAACTCGAATCAGCGAAGTGAACGGGGCCTAATAGTTCTATAATTCAGAATTATGATTTTAGTTTAAATCAATCTTTGTTTACAAAAAGTAAAAAGTAGTTTTGATTTGACTCATTCATAATCAGTGTTTGATTTGAATAGTTTTGATTCAAGATTTGAATCCGGATGTGATGTTTTAAACTAAAATCACTTCTAATTCTAAAATCACCCACCCCTGGTTTTGGATGGTTCAAACCCCTGATCCTGGTTTTAGTTTTAGAACTATGATTTGGACCCAAAATTATGAATCATAATTCTAGTTCTAAAATTAAAACTAGAATCACCATAATTTGAACCCTCATACCAAACAAAGCCTAAGTTTTTTTAATTTGTATGTTCTTGTACTTAAATAAATTTAATAATAACTCAAAAAAAATTAATTCTGATAATATCTAATAGACGAAAACACATGGTAGGATAATTTACTTGTTTTAATTTTTAAGAATAAGAAAAAAGAGTTTTTTCGGTAATCTGAATTTTGAACGTCAAATCTGATCAAAATTACGTTAAATTAAAAAATAAATAGAATAAATATATTTTAATACAAATTTAACGGTTGAAATTAATGTGTTGTTTGGTGTAAGGGTTCTGAACATGTAACCATGATTCTGGTTTAAAATCAATGTTTATTTAAAAAAAATAAAAAGTGGTTCTGATTTTAATCGCTCATAATAAGTGTTTTGTTAGGATATCTTTGATTTAAGGTTTAAACCTTGATGTGATGTTTTAAACTATGAATCACCGCTGATTCTAAAACCACCCCTTTAGTTTTGGGTGGTTTAAACCACTGATTTTGATTCTAGTTTCAGAACCATGATTTGGACCAAAAATCATGAATCATGGTTCTAGTTCTAAAATCAAAATTAGAATCACCTTAGTTTGAATCTCATTCCAAACGAACTCTTAGGGCTTGTTCATTTGCCCCCAAACTCAAAAAAGTTTGCACTCAAGTTGTAATTTTATTCAAGTTCATGTTCTTTTGTAAAACTTGAGTTTAAACTTAAGTTTGGGGTTAAAATCTAAGTTCAAGTTCCCTCTTCAACTCAAGTTCCTAAACTCAAACTCAATTTAATGAGTAATATTTTTTCTATTATTAAAAACGCAATAACTTTTTCGTTTTAATTCCGATTGAGATGATTTTTTTTCCATGCATTCACAACGAAGAGACGAATAAAACCCCAAACCCCACCCTTATATCCCATTAAAATTTTCCATCACCATTGTGTCTTTTTACCCCGTTCATTTCACCGATTCAAGTTTTGCTATAGTAAATGGCTCTAAAAACCAGTCACATTTAACTTTTTTGCTACAGTAAAAAGCTCTCATATAAAATCACATCTTAACTCGAATTAAAAACTCGAATCATCGAACTAAACAGAAATATTATCTAAATACAAATTCAAGTTTTGATCCACCCAAATACAAAATCAAATAAATTCTCATTTCAAACCATAACTTAAAATGTGCACATCTAAATATAAACTCAAATTAAAATATCAACTCAAACTATACTCAAATACACATTAACTCAAATTAAGATTTGAACTCAATTCACCTTAACTCAAAGGTCCCGTTCATTTCACCGATTCGAGTTTAGAATTTAAGTTTTACTACAGTAAAAAACTTTAAAAAATAATCACATTTAACTTTTTAATTATAATAAAAAATTATCATATAAAATCACATATTAAAAATTTAAATTAACAAACTAAATGGTTCAAAAAAAAATAATGAACACGCTTAAAAGTCTCAAAAAGAGGAAAAAAAAAGGAATACACAAAGATCTCGTTCATTTTATCAATTCGAGTTTAAAATTTAAGTTTTACTACAGTAAAAAGCTCTCATAAACAGTCATATCTAATTTTTTTATTATAATAAAAAACTCTCATATAAAATTACATTTTAACTTAAATTAAAAACTCAAATCAGCGAGCTAAATAGAATAAAAAAAGGCTTAAGAATCGTAAAACCGGGTTTTATGCTATATAGCGTAGGTACGTCCCCAAATTAAAAAGAAGGTGCGAAGCGTGGAAAAGGGCATATTCTCTTCCCATCACTTCCGACTTCTGAAATTTTCCAAGCTTTTCATAGCCTCCATAGCTCTCTCTCTCTCTCTCTCTACTTTCTCTCTCTAAAATCTCTAACCTTTCTCTCTCTAGTCTTCTCTGATCGAATAACCGAGGATGCATTCTGCTCACTTGCTCCTGGAAGAGCCGATTAGGATGGCTTCCATCCTCGAGCCCTCCAAGGCTGTACGTTTTCTTCTCTTCTCTCTCTCTCTCTCTGTTTTTTCTTTATTTGGATCTGAAATTGATTGAATCGGATTGTGATTTTAGGTTTAGCGATTTGATTCGTGATTTTCGATTTTGTTTTGGTGTTTGGTAATTTTGCAGAGCTTTTTTCCCGCAATGACGAAGATTGTGGGTACGCTTGGCCCTAAATCTCGATCCGTGGAGGTTATCTCTGGCTGCCTCAAGGCTGGAATGTCCGGTATATGATTTTATTTTCAGTTTGATTCCACAATTTTATTATTATTTTTTTTTAAAGATTAAAATTGAAATTGGTTGAGTTTTTTTTAAAGAAAAAATGAAGATTTGTTTTTTTGTGTGATTTTGGCTGTATATATGTGGATTATGGGCTTATGACGTGTTTGATACGTTGCATGGCAGTGGCTCGATTTGATTTCTCATGGGGAGACCCGGAATACCACCAGGAGACTCTGGAGAACTTAAAGGCGGCTGTCAAGAGTACTAAGAAGCTCTGTGCTGTAAGTTTTCTGGGCTTTGTCTTGCTGATTAAGAAGTAGGTTTTTTTTTTTTTTGCTGTGAAATTAGTTAGGAAAAAAAGGAATATTAATATGGTCTACTGTTGCTTAAAAAGAGAACAAGATCCATAAACAACAAAAGCAATGTCGAAGGCTTAGATAATGGGTTCCACCTAACCTTATAGTTTGCCCCACATGGTCAGGGTCTATTTCTTACCGGTTCTTAACTCGAGACTGAGGAGTGGGTTTAGGAGATTTTAGGGAAAAAATGTTGAAATCTGATAATTAAGAGCATCATTTAATCAGAAACAGAAAGCAGATGAGTATGTTTTGTATGTAGTAAATTTTCCATAGATTGTTTTTTGCCTTCTAGGCGTTGCCGGGATTCTGTGCTTGACATGGAGAATGTAATGTGGTGCCTGCCAAACAATGCCTTATTTGGTTTTCATTTGCTTTGGGCTTGTGGGTGATGTTATATCATTATCAATTGATTTCTTTTGCAGGTTATGTTGGACACTGTAGGTCCTGAGTTGCAGGTTGTAAACAAAAGCGAAAAGGCTATCTCACTTAAGGCAGATGGTTTGGTTGTTCTGACGCCCGATCAGGGACAAGAAGCGTCCTCAGAGTTGTTGCCCATCAATTTTGATGGACTCTCAAAGGTGCTGCTATAGCTACTTTACATATTTTTTGTCTTAGGAAACATTGTTTTCTTCACCTTGTAGTGTTTTTGAAATAATTAATTGTCCTCATAGCCAGTGGTAATCGATTACTACTCTTGTCCATTGAGATCTTCAGATTCTATTTGCACGTGCAAGGGGCCTGGGTACAGGTTAAAGATCGCATATGCAAGAAAAACCATTCATTTATTTGTACTTATTGTCCAGTATGGTATAATATAATGTATGCTGTAGTTTTTGCACGTGATGCTCTTAAAGTTACTAGTTAGTTGAGAAAAACTTGACATTATGCACATCTCGTATTTCATCCTTAAATTATGTGAGAACTGTAATTTTCGGATAATATGTCATGTCTTCTATTTTAGTTCTTTCTTAATGAAATATCTGACGAACCTTAATATGATTTTGCAGGCTGTGAAGAAGGGAGATACCATTTTTGTTGGTCAGTACCTGTTCACTGGAAGTGAAACTACTTCTGTCTGGTTGGAGGTACCGTTTCAACTACCTACAAAACTAAAGTTCTTTTATGCTATACTTTTCAGCTCACTTGCAAAACTTCCACTGTACCAGTGATGCGGGACAGTTCTCTGTATAGTCCTGGGCAGAACTATTTACTCAGGTGTGGCTGACAAGTTCTATTTTTCACTTTACTAGGTTTCAGAGGTGAAAGGAGACGATGTTGTTTGTGTGGTGAAGAACTCAGCAACCTTGGCGGGTTCTTTGTTTACTTTGCATGCCTCTCAGATTCATATAGAATTGCCTACCCTTTCTGATAAAGATAAGGAGGTAAGTTCTTGTTCTGCAGATCTTAGATTTTGACGTACTGTTCCACAAGGCTTCTCTCTCTCTCTATGACCTTTCTCTTAATTTTATTCTTAGTTTGCCTCCCCTTCTCTTTCTTAATGCTTATTACAGGTAATAAGTACTTGGGGACTTAAAAACAAAATCGACTTTCTCTCTTTGTCATATACCCGTCATGCTGAAGATGTTCGCCAAGTAAGTATCCATCCTTATCTAGTTTTCTGTATCGCCTAACTCTCCAAGTGTTACTTGTTTGAATAACTCTAATAACTGATTTATCTATGCTGTTGTGCAGGCCCGAGAATTCTTTTCTAAGTTGGGTGACCTTCATCAGACTCAGATTTTTGCAAAGATTGAAAACATAGAGGTGGATTGACATATTTCTATTTCAAGTTTTTGCTCTTTTTAGGCTGCTCTTTAGCTTTTCTCTTTTTTTTTTTTTTTAATTTTAATTTTCAATTAAAGTTCTGAAAAATTGTGAACTTTTTTGTTCTAGGGATTGACACACTTCGATGAGATTATACAAGAAGCTGATGGAATTATCCTCTCTCGTGGAAATTTAGGAATTGATCTCCCACCCGAGAAGGTCAGTTTCTGAACTTTCTCGGCTACACCGATTGCTTCTTAGTATTGAATTGAAGTTGAAAATTCAATGGTTTTCATGATATTTAAAACTTTTTGTTCTACTTTTCACAGGTCTTTTTGTTTCAAAAAGCTGCCCTTTATAAGTGCAACATGGCTGGAAAGCCTGCAGTGGTTACCCGTGTTGTTGATAGTATGACTGACAACTTGAGACCTACTCGTGCAGAAGCAACTGATATCGCAAATGCTGTACTTGATGGTGCGGTTCCCCTTTTAAATATGTGTTAGGAACCTAATATTTAGAAGTCTTTTTCAATAGTCTTAAGGAGAGTGTAAATAGGGGGTTTAGTTGCTAGGGAGGGGAAAATCAGATTTGTAGAGAGTGTCTAGTGCTGTGTACTATTTTGGAGGTCGGGGGTCCTTGAAACCGCCCATCTATCTTGTAATTTTTCATTTTTAGTATTATTAATGAAGCATAGATTTTCGGGATCCTAACAATGGTATCAAAGCATCTATGATCCATAGAGCTTTTTGAGTTAAGAGAGAAACTTAGGGCTGTTCTCAGAGCCAATCTCAAGGTTTCTGGAGGGAGTATGGGGGGGCTCTGGGACCAGGTGGGGAAGGTTCGGACTCAGATGGAAGACGTGCAGGCGGTGCTGCGGAGGATGGAGGCATTGCTGGCGGCCCGGCCGATGGCCGGGAAGGCCGAGTTGGGTCGCGACGGCGAACGACGGGACGGGGAGAGGCGAGATCGCGCCCCTCGGGGCGAGGAGAGCCCAGATCGCGTCGACCCAGGTGGAGTGGAGGTGCCAAATCGGGCGGATCTTCGCCGGGAAGCGCCGATTCGCAAAGATCAAGGCCGCGAGAGGGAGTTCCGACGCCGGAGAGACGTGGGTCTCATGGAGGAGCACGAGATCCGTCGCGATCTGGGGCTGGGTGGACCGGATCTACAGCGTGAGGGGTTGTTCGACGACGGGAGGAGGGCGGATGGAGGTCGCAACCGTCGGGAGAGGGCGGCGGAGCTTGTTCGGCGATGGGAATCGGAGAGAGGCTTGCTCCGGGGCTGGGACGGCATGGGTACCCTCGGAACAGGGAACCCATCCCTGTTTCGGTCGCGGTTGGGGCTGATTCCGGACCGATTTGTACCGGGCATCGCGATTCCGGCGTGAAAGGGGCTGATTCCGGTGCTACGGAGACAGATCCTGGCGCGACGGAGGCTGGGCTCGACGATTTGGCTGCTGTTTGGATAGGGCCTCCCGATTCCGGCGTGGAAGGGGCCGGTGCTACGGAGACAGATTCCGGCGTGACGGAGGCTGGGCTCGACGATTTGGCTGCTGTTTGGATAGGGCCTCACGATTCCGGCGTGAAAGGGGTCGATTCCGATGCTACAAAGGCAGATTCCGGCGGAATTGTAGTGGAGTCTCGCAATTCCGACTCGATTAAGGCTGATCCCGGTGAGATTGGTGGTGTTTTCGAAAATTCCAGCCAAATTTGGAGCGGGTCTCATGATTCTGACGCTGTTGAGGGTGTTTCCGGCGAGGTTGGGGCTGATTCCGGCCCGGTTTGGACTGGGCTTTGCAATTCTGGTGTGAAAGGGGTTGGTTCCGGTGCCACGGAGGCAGATTCTGACGGAATTGGAGTGGGACCCATGAATTCCGACGCCCTTAATGCTGGGTTTTGTGATTTTGACGCCATTGGGGCTAGCTCCGGGGAGATGATGGCCAGGACGTGGAATTCCGATGCGAAATCCGGCGATTTTAGGGCTGAATTCCGAAATTCTGTTCAGAAGTGGGCTGGGTCTAGTGTTTTCGGTATGGGTAGAGCCAATTTTGGGGTTGAGCCTTGTAATTACAATATTAGTTGGCCTAATTCTAGTGCTCGGGCAGTCAGGCCGCAAAACTTTAACATGTTTGGGGCTGGGAATGGTACGATTGCAGCTGCGTATGAAGAAATTGGTGAGAGTGAAGTTAAAAGGTTGATGTCCTGGTTGGCTAAGAAGGAAACTCCCGTAGTGAGGATTGATTTGTCAATATTTTTTGTGACCATTGATGAGCTTGCGCAGAGAGTTTCAAATGAATTGATAGACGTTGTGGTCGCTTTCCAAGATACAAAGAAGATGGAGAAGAAAGTAATTGATTGGCTCCAATTTGAAGACGTGACTAACGAGGACAACATCAATTTGGGGACTCCAATAAAGGAACTAACGCAGCCTTTTGTTCTTAATCATTTAGATGTTATTTTTCAATTTTATTTCTTGATTTTCACCTTGAGGACAAGGTAATTCTTTGGGGCGGGGGTAATGTTAGGAACCTAATATTTAGAAGTCTTTTTCAATAGTCTTAAGGAGAGTATAAATAGGGGGTTTAGTTGCTAGGGAGGGGAAAATCAGATTTGTAGAGAGTGTCTAGTGCTGTGCACTATTTTGGAGGTCAGGGGTCCTTGAAACCGCCCATCTATCTTGTAATTTTTCATTTTTAGTATTGTTAATGAACCATAGATTTTCGGGATCCTAACAATATGTGTTTATATAGACCTAACTTGTGGTTTCTAACCCTTATGTCTCATTGGTGCAGGAAGTGATGCGATTCTTCTTGGTGCTGAGACTCTACGTGGTTTGTACCCTGTCGAGACCATCTCCACTGTTGGTAAAATCTGTGCTGAGGTAAGTCCTTTATTTATTATTGATTTTGAGATTTTACCCATCTTATGGTTGAAGTTCTTTTTTGCTTTGAGGCCAGTTTTAGATTTTACTCCTTGTTGACGGGGCCAGTTCTGTCCCGCCATAAATATTTGTCTTCAAATTTTTCTACTGGATCTTTCATGTGGATTTTAATGATCCTAGTTAAAGATGTTTTCAAGCACATGCTTAGCTGATAATTCCTAACTGTGGTGATTGTCAATAATTGTTTTAGGGTTTTAATTATTTTTTGTCTTTGATCTGTGTAGTCGGAGAAGGTTTTCAATCAGGACTTGTACTTTAAGAAGACTGTCAAATATGTTGGAGAACCAATGACTCATTTGGAATCTATTGCTTCCTCTGCGGTACCCTCTCTCTTTTCATTTTTATTTGTTTTCTTCTGAAGATTTATCTTTTGATTAATTCTGCCAATGTTATTCCCTTTGGAAATATTGCAAAACTTAAATACCGTCAATATCCCCTTATTTTGTAGGTACGAGCAGCAATTAAGGTGAAGGCTTCAGTTATTATTTGCTTTACTTCATCAGGAAGGGCTGCAAGGTAATTGAGTATGCATGCTACTGATATACCTGTTATCTGTTTGTTCAATTTTCAATTATGCAAGCTGGTTCTGCAATTATAGCCAAATCATTTTTCCTTTGCCTGCTGATTTTCATGTTGACTTGTGCCTGTGAAACTAAGAGATTACTTGTGTTGTGTATGCACAGATTGATAGCGAAGTACAGGCCAACAATGCCAGTTATATCAGTGGTTGTTCCTCGGCTCAAGACAAATCAACTAAGATGGAGCTTTAGTGGAGCCTTTGAGGTTTGCTCTTTTTCTAATCATAAAAAGAAATTCAGTAGATTTGTGGCCACTGGCCAGGAAGTTCATTAGAATCTGTATACATGTCCAACTGAAATGTTACTTTCCAGAAATTAATGTGGAACTTCCAACTTGGAATGCAGGGTCGAAGGGATAATTACTGGTTGATAATTAAGTCTAAAAAGTAGTTAACCTTTTGATGTTGCAGTTGATTGATTGTACTATCAAACTTGGCTTTCCTCAATTATGATCAAATTTGTGCATTTGATATGATCTGTGAATTACTTGTGTTTCTATGATTTCCTGAAAGGCCGATGTCTTTGAGAAGTTGCTATAGCTATTTTAATTGTTTCTTTAGCAGTTGGAACTTATCATTCTTACCTTCCGACGTTCACTCCGTTATCTTTTTGTAGGCAAGGCAATCTCTTATAGTCAGAGGCCTTTTCCCCATGCTTGCTGATCCCCGTCATCCTGTAAGTTCATTTCATTTTGCTACATTGATATCTTTCTCGTTACTTGTAACTTGCCTTTTGCACTAATTGGCGAGATTCTTATACGACTTATGGTGGCTTTCTTTGCTCGATAATGATAAAGTTGCTTACATTGCAACCTTATTTGTTTGCAACCTTATTTGTATATTAACATATTTTGGATTATTCTTTATATGACTTCTGTCACATGTCTGGATATTTTGCTACTGTTTTTGTATGCACGTTTTTCTTTTATTCTAATTTTGCACTTCCATTCGTAATTTTCATGACATTCGGTTTCCATACGCATTGCAGGCCGAGTCTACAAATGCAACAAATGAGTCAGTTCTAAAGGTTGCCCTTGATCATGGAAAGGCGTCAGGAGTTATAAAGTCGCACGACCGAGTTGTTGTTTGCCAGAAAGTCGGGGATGCCTCAGTTGTCAAGATTATTGAGCTTGAAGATTAGAAAAGCTTCTTGCCCTTTGTTTTGGGTTTTTGTTTCCGTCCTAATTTTTGCAACTAATGGAATATAATGCCGTCACCTACCTGGTATTAATATCCCAGGTTTTGGAAACCAGCTTGTTTATCAACTTGAATTTACAATATCCGGAGGCCATTTTTATTGTTGATATAAACAGTAGTCATAGTATCCATAATAACCCTTTGTTGGGTTTGTTTATCACAGTAATTCATTGGTTTTTAATCAATGATTTTATTAAAGTTTCTTTGATATTAGTTTAACCAACTTTGGCGTTCATGCTTAACTGCCAACCTTGTTACATTTTTACATATTTGGTTTGTCTAAAACCAACATTGTTTTGTGTGAGGAGCTCTGGTGTATAGCTCAATTTTTACAAATTGCTTAAATTCTTACAAATTGCTTATTTATCAAATTGCTTAAATTGCTTAAATTCTTACATTTAACATTGGGTGAATGCAATACAGATTGTGTTGGTAGGATTTTACTTTTTTTTTTTTTTTTTTTTTTTACCTGAGTAGGATTTAACTTAATTCGGAAGCTTCTTAGCCATGATTTATTTGCTTGAGTTTAAAATTAAGAGCTTTGGAAAAAGTTGATAAAATATAAATAGATGCACATGAACATGTTTGGAGCTGAGATACACGTGAACATGTGGGATCTGTTCTAGACATTGAGGGTTAATTTCCAAATTGCCACGGATTGCACTTGCTCTTTGCGTTTTACACGGTGACATAGTAAATTCCTAATCTTAATAAATTCGGAGCTGGAGTGTAACTAGTGAAGTTGACTTAAATTCTTAACAAGAAAGGAAACAATTTTTTTTTTTTTTTTTTTTTTTTTTTTTTTTTTTTTTAACAAGAGAAATAGATATTAATCCAAGTTAGGAAAAAAAAAAAAGAAAGAGAGTCTATAATAAGGTGTTCCTACAGTAGAATTATTCCCCTTAATCATATAATTTAAATCATACAGTACTTATAAAGTGAGTGTAACGATGTCATTCAAAGATATTTACTATCACAATCAATAGTCCAATTGAATCTATTGGTGGGGCCATCCGTATCTCCTAAACAAAAGGTGAGGCCTTTGGCGATACCATTGGACTCGCTTCAAATCTGTTGAATGGCCTTGTAGAAGAGGGAAAAGAGTAGATTTATCTGTTTCAACTTTTGTTCATTACACAAAGATTGATGTTATATTAAAACTTAATTAATATGGATCTGAGGCCAGCAGCAAAGCGCCCGTGGCCTAATGGATAAGGCGTCTGACTTCTAATCAGGCGATTGTGGGTTCGAGTCCCACCGGGCGTGCATTTTCACTCACTTCGCTTTTTGCTTTGTTTTTTTTTTTTTTTTTTTATGCGCAATTGTGCATCTATCACAGTCATAGTTACTAACTAAATCGTAACCTTTTATACTATTCCTTCATGAAAAAGAATGTTAAATCTTCTAAATTTTTAAGGGATCCTCAACATACTTAGAAAAATTAGTCCCATGTTTCAAGTCCTTTATGAAGTTTTTCGATGCCGATATACTTCATGCCCGTTTAGTAAGGGAATTCAACTGATTCTAACCTTGAATTTACACCTAAACTCATATTTGGAAGGGTAGAATCAGGCTATTGAGTTAGAATCATATTGGAGTTTTAGTCCGGATTATAGACATGATTCTTGAATCAGGATCCCCTTGATTTTACCCGTCGGAACCCATTTGCTACAGTGAAAATCACCGTGCTCTCTTTGCAATTAATACACTTGCAATTATTTGTTCTGGGTTTGAATTTTTTTTTTTTTGGGTCTGTAAAATCACATTAGCTTACTTTACCGACAATCAAGACGGAAAAATAAGAGAATATGCAAAAGAAATAATGGATTCATGAACAATTTTTTTGCATTTATTTCTATGTTTTAACGCATTCCTTGACTAGGGTTACTCCTTTGTTTGGCATGGTGTATTTGGAGGGAACTAAAATTAAAAATTCACGACTCTTCGTTACGTTCTCCAGCTCAGATTGTTCAACGGACTATCAAACAGAAATATCGTAAGCACTGCATTCCTACACAATGGAATGGCGCCCGTGTCGATGGTCGGACTCGAGCTAAACGGATATGCCTGATTGGTAGTAGTAGTGAGCCACTAAGCCTGTTATATCGCTGTTTGTGATTCCTTCAGTTTGTCAACGAAAAAGAACATTGCACATAGAAAACCAAATTTCTTAAACAAAGTTATGTAATAGCCAAAACGAAAGATTATTATTTTCCTTTCCTTCATCCAAATGACTGGTTTCTAAACTACAAAATGTGAGCCCTATTGTTGTGACTATCAACAAAACTATCCACACTATGCTGTAATGGAAGACGGATCACCGCCACCCCTCTTGTTCGAAGAATGCTGCTGCTGCTGATTCTGGCGATGATGGAGATCCAACAACTCGAGCTCTTTTTGACGGATAATCAGCACCATTCTCTCATTCTCGAGCTTTCGCCTTTCATTCTCAAACTTGGCTTTCTCCATTTCCCTCTCCTTTTTGCTGCTAAACTTGATCCACTTGAGCCTTTGCTTCTCCAGCTCAAAAGCTTCACATTGGTAGCTCACTTGCTGCTCCTCCAACTGTAACATCCTCACCTTCAGCCACTGCTTCTTCTCCCACGGACTCCTCAACCCGTCTTGGACCACACCGAGAATTTCACTTCTGAAATGTTGTATCAATTGGGTGGTCCCAGATAAGGCTTCCTTCCTTGGCCTTTTGGCAGGCTGTCTTTCGCAGTTGTCTTCGTCATCATGATCATGTCCACGACCGATTTGACCCCGAGAACCCCCATCAGCTTCCTCGTCTTCGTCCGCTTCGTCATATTCATCAGAATCATCATCTTCATCGTCTTCCTCCTCATCTTCACCCGCACTTCCAGTTTTTATCATTTTCAATGCTTCAGTGTCTTGCCTGCCTACCATTTGGGCGCTTTCCTTCAAGTGAAAGCATGGTTGCGGATAGGGCTGCTGATTAGGGTGGATGTTGGATGGCTCAAATACAAGCTCCGGAGACTGGTGCGCTCCACCATTGTGGTAAGCACACATTTCTCTGAAAAAAAGGTGCTTGGAATTGAGCAATTTCCGAACCTCCTCCTTCATCTTCGGCGTTAAGTCCATCGAGTCTAACAAGCTCTGATTCTCCACAACCCGGCAAGATGTTCCTTTACCAAGTATGTCATTCACCCTCTTATACCTCTTGTTCAAGTCATTGAACTTGTCCTCGCATTGCTGAGGAGAGACATGAAACCCCTTCTCCATCATCGCCCGCGACACCGTCTTCCATTTCCCTTTCTTCTGCAACAGCCCTCCAGACGGCTTCTTCTTCGCCGCAGGGTCAGTTCCTTCCAAGCCACCATCATCGCCAATGTAGTAAACCGCCATAATTAGGTACCTAACCATGCTGTCTGTCCACTTCATTCTCTGCCATGGGGACATTTTCCTCTTCCCATCGCCATTAGTCCCATCATGATCGGCACCAAACCCTGCCTCATCTTCATCACTAAGGGCCACTTGCTTCGACTTCGAAGTGGGGCCATAAGTGTAGCCATGTTTGAGAGATGGCTGAGTTTGCGGGTGCTGATCAGCGGGATCGTGATGGGCATAACCCACCATCTGTGGATGCTGCAAATGGCGAGGGTTTTGCTGTTGCGGTTGAAGAGGCATTTCTAGGCCAAGCATTCCAGACCCCATGGCTGAAAACAACCCACCTCCGCCTAAACCATTGGCTTCCATCCAAAAAGTAATAAATTTCCCACAAAAAGAAAACGACCCAGATGACAAAACAGCTAAATTATCACTTGCAGCTCTGCAAAAGAATAATTACATTGGTTTTCTTCTTTCAGACATTTTAACAAACATGAAACGGGCAGTAATAGAGACGTACCCAATAACCAGCAAAAGCAGCCTGTCGAAAGCACCGGCGAGTCAGAGATTGGAACAAAGTCAGAGACTTATTATGTTACGTCAAAACAAACGAAAGAAAAGATCTGGTCTTGGTGGGTGGTAATGATAATGGTAAAGGTAATGACAATGGTAATGGTGGTTTCTCAGCTTTTTCTCTGAAAAATTTAAACAGAAGAGAGAGAGAGAGAGTTGAGTGACAGGGATGAGAGAGAGAGAGAGGCATAAGAAGATTTGTACATACAAGGAGCGGAGCAGCCGGTTTTGGGTTCTGCGGTTCTGGAAAACTGCCCATGGTTTTGGCTCTTCTCTCTCCCTTTTTACTCTCTATGGCTTTGTCAACAACAGAATCCACAGGTTTTTGGTTTTGTCAAAACTGGGATTGGTAAGGAGTCCTTTTTTTTTTACACCTAACGACATGCGTTTATAAAATAATATTAATAAAAAAACCTAGAGAAATCATAGTTGATATTACTTCCTTGTATGTTATATTATTATAATAAATTTTTTCCTTTTTAATTCCGCATATTGTTTTTATGGCTGCCTCCAAAAAAGTTTTGACAAAAAACGTTTGACAAACAATTAATGATGCTTCAAAACGACGTTGTTTTAAAAAAATATAAAAAATTTTCGCCAGCAAAATGACATGTCCTTTTTTCTGATTCTTAAAAACAACGTCGTTTTGACAAAAAACAAAAACATACTTTCAAGAGTGAAACGATATGTCATTTTTCTACTGATGATAAAAACGACGTTGTTTTAACAAAATGATAAAAAATTATATTTTTTTTATGATTTTCTTTATTTTTCATCTTTGAAAAATAAAATAAAAAACGATGTCAAAACATTCTGAAATTTTACAAGTAAGATCCTCACATTTTTCTAAGTATACTTACAAAAAATGGCCTCAAATTATGAAAAAAGAAAACGCAACCACAAAGCCCCCCCAGTGGGTCACCCAGGAGCTGGGATGGGTCAAAAATTAAAATTTTTATTTATGTTTTACATTCTAAAATTAATACATGATTTTTAGAAATTAATGCAACAAGCGACACCATTTTTTGATAAATATTATATTTTTTTTATGATTTTCTCTATTTTTCATATTTAAAAATTAAAATAAAATAAAAATGACGTCAAAAAATTCTGAAATTTTGGAGACACGATTCTTACATTTTTCTGAGCATGCCAGCAAAAACTGGCCACTAATTATGAAAAAAGAAAACGCTGCCAAAAAACACCTAGCGCACGCAGTGAGGCGCCCAAGGGCTAGGATAAGTCATTTTGGGTTTTTTTTTTATGGATTTTGTTTAAAAGGGTTTTTTTTTTTCTTTGAGGTTTTTCTTTAATTTTTTTAAGAATTTTTGTTCGTACTTTTTTTTCCACTTTATGAAATATTTTTTCCGTTATTAGTTAATTTTGATTTGTTACTACTTTTTTACTGGTATTTTCTTTCTATAGTTCTCTAATGTATGAATGAGGGCGGTTTATATTGTGTGAGTATTGATATTAGTACTATAGTTTGACACGTATATTTTATTTTCCTCCATTTTGCATAACATATATCTATTATTTTACTGTCGGTTGTTTATTGGTTTTGTTTTGCGGTGAAAGTCATGCCTCATGACATCTATCGCAATATACTTATTACTCTAATTGATTTTATTTTATTTTTTTTTGCAAGTGTTTATATGGGAGATTGATCAAGATTTGTGACTATTATATTATGACACGTACATTTCATTTCTTCCAATTCTGTTTAATACAAATATAATATCTTACTGTTGGTTGTTTATTGATTCTATTTTGCGGTGCGATCCATGTTTAATGATACTTGTCGTAATATGATCATCACTTTCATTTATTTCTTTGCATGTTTTCGTGTCAGTCTTCTATCAAGATTTCAGTTACTTGATGTATATATATTGGCTTCATTTCATATTCGTTCTTTATTTATTACATTCTATCATTCTTAGCCTTATCTGTTTTCTTACAGTTTAAAAGTATTATTCGTATTAGACTTTTCATAGTATTTCTATTGCCTGTTGGATATTTTGTTTCTTTTTCATCTCCAATATTTGTTCTGTTACATCTGTTGTGTTCGGTGTACTTTTTTGTGAAAGGGAATATATTTTTACTTAGTATATGTGTTTCTCAATTGTTTTAAAATATTGCTTTATAGTGTTATCTCCATTGGTTATATGAATTTATTTATTCATTTAGTCATTTACTAACGTTTATATTTTTTTATGACCCTCTTTCTTTTTATGCGGTTTTAATTTCCTCTTGTTGTGGTGGTTTAAAGGGTTTTACTATTTCTTAGTGATGATGATGTATTTGTCTTCTATTATGAGCATGTATCATATGACTATTAATAGAGATTTGGCTGTTTTTGCTGCTGCCGGAGTTATTTTGGTTTTATGCCTTTATCTTTTAACTTTTTTATTCATGAGGTATTACTGTTCTTTCCTATTGAATATGTTATTTCTTCGCGTTCAGGTCATTGTTTCTCTAAGACTTTTTACACATTTTTACTAATCAATTTCTAAAATTTCGTCTCTATTTTATATTGCATAGCCTCCATTCTTTAGTAGTTCAAATTCATCATTTTGTCCTTAACTTTTTACCTATTTATTTGTTCTTATATATGCTTGGTTTGTACTTTTTGTGTAGGTAAAGGATTTAAACGACAGTCTAATTTATTGATATTTTGTATAAATTCTGTAATAATTTAGATGGCAGCCAACTATGTTGCTAGGTTCTGTTTTAGTTACCTATGATATATATAGGTAAGTTTAGGAGATAAATACCCGAACCAAGTAACTAATAAATATTTTCCTATTTTGTTTATCTTCTGTTGACACTAAAATTGAATACCGACTCCAATTTTTTTTTATATATGTTAGTTTAAATGAATTTTTTTTTAGTTACTGAACTAAATAATGTCATAGGAGAATTTGTTCAATAAATTGATGGAAAATGTGTATGTCACGCATTTATTGAGCTAAGTATATTGTAGAGACTATTTGAACTTCCTTTCTTTTGTAAAACATCTTTGTCATATTAAATATTCATTATATTATAATTTTTTCTGTTGTATTTTGCTTATTCATAGCAGAATCGGTGCTAGACATTGAAAATCAAATATAGTTGCTCTCTCCGTCTTTTAATCGCGTGCTTTATTAACAGTCGTTTGCTGCTTTCTATTGCTATCTGTGCATCTCTTTTTAATCTATATTCGGCATTGATTGGCTAGCATTCCAGGTATTTTTAATATTTTTTGCCCTCATTTATATAATATATGCTGCTTATATAACTGTTACTATCATATATTGCTCATTGTTAATATGTTATGTTCTTAACCATTTTTTGTTAAATATATTTTTTGTTTTTACATTTGATATACTTATTTGGCTATACATATATTTCCTTTTTTTACGTATTGTAATCTTTTAATTTCTTCTACATTAATTATGTATTTAAAGTCTATTTATATACACATTACTTGGTTTTAACTGCAAGTGGATTTTATGTTTTCCATTAACTTTACACATTTTACTCTAACAATTTTTGAACTGTAGCGATGATGATGTCACAAGATCTTCATATTCCTTTTTTTTTTTTTTTTTTACATAGATTGTCCAAAAATTATTGTGAATACAATCTCCTTATTTTGCTTAATTTTTTCCTAACTTCTGTTTACTAAAACAGTTTTCCTTCATCTTTCCAACGTTCTTCTTTACTTCCTATACCTAATCTAATGCCATTGGTACTTTGAGCTTACAAGATTATTCATAACTTATTTATACATTTATTATTTTAGTTTATGTATTATTAGTATTAAAGATTTTAGTTATTTACTTGCTATTTTATCGTTCATATAATGTCCTCTGTTTTACATCACATAAATATTATCTTCCTTAAAAATATGTTCTGTTTTACTCTGTTCTGTTTCAGTCTTTTTCTCTCTATTACTATGGTTTTTCATTTTCTGCCTAATTTTTTTCCATAATTTTTCCTTCTTACTTTTTCTTCTCTTTTTCTTAATGTTTTCTGCTATCTTTTTATCGATAATACTGGTCTATACTCTTCATCTTCTCCTCTTAGTTTAATATATTTCATGTTTTACTATTTTTATTGTCCACTTACCATTAGTACATATTCTAAACCAGAATCTTCTGTGTTACTGTTCACTGTACAGTGTTAGTCTAATGTTGTTTCTTCAATATATTCTTTCCTTGCATCCAGAATATTTGAAGACATCCAAGCTCTTTTACCGCCAAAAATTGTACCAACAACAACACTTTCTGATACACAAAGGCAAGCTAAATTTATTAATTTATATTAAATGTATAAATAAAAATTTTAACAGTTCTAAATAAATATGTAAAGTTTTTTTTTTTTCCTCATTTCAGCCCTAAACAAACAACTCCATCACTTATATCATCACCAACGGCAATCGATCCATAAACTCCAATTTTGAAAAGACCAGGCACAAGGTAAAACATATTTACTATGAAAATTAGTCTAAATTATTCTAAATACACATCTAAATAATATTTCCTACTTTCAGCTCTGAATCAAAATCAAAAGAACTTTCTACAAAGCAGCCAAAGAAAAGGTAATATAAATATATTTTTAGATCTTCTATTATACACTATCTATATAAAAATTTTGTCAACCTATTTAAATATTATATTGGCCTATTATGATTTCTTAACATTTCTATCTTGCAGTTAAAAAAGACAGCACAATAGATCCGATAGGCGTTACTGTATTATAGTGTATATATGTATATATGTACATATAAATATATTTTGACCTATAATACTGTATGTGTATATATTTGTAACTATATTTGTAATAATAGCAAATCTTTTGTATCTGTACATATTTGTAACTATGTTTATAATAATAGCAAATCTTTTATGTGATACAACATTATATTTAACAACAATGCGCGGGAATCAGACTCATTTAATCTAATGTGCATATTTTTTAATTATCAAAAAAATGTGTGTGTGTGTGTGTGTTTTTTTTTTTTAAAACCTTTTTTGAAATTCACACATGCAAACACACAATAAGATTTGACTGTTTTTATTTTTATGATTGAGGGCACAACAGATAAAATTAGAGTAGAGTCGATATAGTATTTTGTTAATAAAGGTTAGAATCACCGTGATTGTTTCAACCTCTAACATCATTTTATGTTTGGAATTTTGAAAATGCTAAGAGATAATAATAGTAATAAGTGACAATAAGATTTAAAAAACGGTTAAATCTGTTTCAGTTAACGCACAAAAAACCTATCGCGCGCGAA